CCCTGCTGGCAGGCCCTGGACAGCACCCGTCTGTCCTCCTGTGGAGCCCCCGCCGGCAGGCCCTGGACAGCACCCGTCTGTCCTCGTGCGGTGCCCCCGCCGGCAGGCCCTGGACAGCACCCGTCTGTCCTCCTGTGGAGCCCCCGCCGGCAGGCCCTGGACAGCACGTGGCTCTCCTGCTGGTTGCTACTGGACCTGATGCCTCCCTATCAGGGTCTCAGAATATCTGGGGCTTTGGCGTTCTCCTGGACTAGACAGTGGGGTGGTTTCTCTCTTCCTTCCTTCCTTTCTTTTTTTTCTTAAGATTTATTTCATTTATTTAAAATGCAGAGATACGGGGGAGCAGGGGGAGACCAACCAACTGATCTTCCTTCCACTGGTTCACTCTCTAGATGGCCACAATGTCTGGGCTGGACCAGGGCTAAGCCAGGAAGCTGGATCTCCATCCAGGTCTCCCATGTGGGTGCAGGGGCACAAGCACTTGGGCCATCCTCTGCTGCTTTCCCAGGCACTTTAGCAGGGGGCTGGATTGGAAGTGGCACAGCTGGGATGCAAACTGGCAGTTGTTATGAGATGTGGGCCCTAGTGGTATCTTTGAAGTGCTGGCTCCTGGGCCATTGCTCTGCTCTGTCAGATCCCTGTGGTTTAGCCCGGGAGCTGTTTTTGCAGCCATGGTCTGTGACGATCTGCCAGTAAGCATCTTCCTTGGGCTTAGGTCGCCAGGTGCTGAGAACTTGAAGGACCTGAGAGAAAGGGCCCCACGCTCAGCTGGGCTGGAGAGTGGTGGGGACCGGCCCACGGCCCCTTGCATGCGGTTGTTTTAGTACACAGAAACTGTCAACTGAGGGGCTTTCCTTTGCTTTTTATAGGTGTGTCATTACACAGATGGTTTGGTCTGAGAGGGGATTACAGTCATGTTCACACATGCACCATTGCTGTCAGTGTGAACAGGGCTCTAGGGATTGGGTCAGACAGGGGAGAGAGTGGGTGGTCCTTATTTAATCTGGAATTATTTTTATACCGTTATCCTCTACAGCTTTCAGAAATCAGCTCGTGTCACTGCACATATGTTTGGAGCTGTTGCTACGGCGACAAGGCTGGCAGCCCACACAGTCCTTCTGGAAGGCTGGGAAACCGCTTGGGGGTGTCTGCCCCTCCCACCTGTGGAGCCTGCGGATGGCCTGCCCCGTGTACATCGTTCCCTTTGACTCGACCTGATGGAGTTACCTGATAATGGAAAATGAAAAGGCTGTCGATGTGTTTAAGACAGAGGGGCGTGAAACGGCGCTGTTGTCTTCACCGCGGTAGCAGAAGCTCAGAGTTTGCTCTTGGTCTCGCCTGTCTCACCCTTCAGACACGGGCTGTGGACCTGACGCTTTTCTCGGTGAAAGTCTTGGTTTTGTTTTTCGGTTCTGATACTGCGTGTGGAGTCAGGACTGTCGGAGCAGTGTGAAGTGTTGGTGTCACGTGTGTGTCCTTCTCGGGCACTGTACCTGTAGCGTGTGTGGACAGTGAGGTGCTCCTCTGGCCCCATGCTGCTGCCACCCCAGAAAGGAGGGTGTGGACTCCCTGAGGTCCTCTTCCGAGGAAAGCGACTCCACTTGGTTCCTGAGAGCTCACGAGCCTGGACACTGGCCCCTCCTGTCAGCCAAAGAGCCTTGCACTAGCACTTGAGTTGAAAGGTTTGATTTAAGTGAATTGTGAATTATTGTCTATTTTTGTATACAATAATCTCGTTCTACCGAAGTGTATGTTCTATGCAAATTGCGGTTGCTCCCCGTTAAAATCAAGATCTGTTGCTCATTTGATAACCAGACGTCTGCCCTCAGCTGAAGCCTGCAACGGGAGGCTGTGTCACACTTCTGAAAGATGTACTTGGTTGGCCGCAGTGCCATGTCTCGTTGTAAACCTTATGTATCAAGAATGGCAGAAGAGTACTTGTTGCAGTCTTGTGAGTGGAAGCAGAGTGTTGGAACCCCACCATGGCAGCTGATGAGATGAATCTTTGCAGCCAGTGAGGGTAGAACTGCAGGTGGCGGCAGCAGGGAGCCCCAGAGCAGGACTGGTAGGCCGCAGGGCCGACACACGTGGTGCCCGGGTTCTCACGGACTGGAGGCATGGTTCGCATCAGCAGCAGCTTGTGGCAGGAGGTGGTTCAGAAGAGTCATGTGTCAGGTGACCTTTTTACATTAACCTTCCAAAGTAGGTATGCGCAGACAAGAGTACCCATGGTGTTCCTTTCACTCTTCTGTGTGCTTAGAACATTTTTAAGCAAACCGTACTTCAAGTAGGTGTGTGGCTCAGCATTGGTTAAGCGCTGCTTAGCAGGTCTGCATCCTGTAGCGCACTGCCCAGGTTGACCTCAACTGCGCTGTGTTGCCAGCCTCGCTTTCTGCTAGTGTGTCCAGAAGGCAGTGACAGATGACCCAAGTGCTTCAGTCACTGACACCCATGGGCGACCCTGGTGGGGTTCCTGACTTCTGACTTCTGCCTGCTCCAACCCCTCACGCATCTGGGGAGTGGACCAGCATATGGAAGCTCCCAGTCTGCATCTCTCTCTCCTACTCTGCCTCAAATAAATCAATAAAGAATTTTTTAAAAGAGAAAACACTAGTTACTGCTGCTCCTGCATACTCCGGTTGCACACATCCCTGAGGCCCAGGGACTGAGTGGCATCAGGGTCGGCTGTCAGATGGAGCGGATGCTCAAGGACACAGGAGCGGCCTCTGACGCTGGCCTCGGGGAGCCTTCACGTGAGGACAGCCCCCTCGTTTTGTGTAGGTGTTGCTTTGGTCCCAGGGAGCTGTCGGCTGTGACTGCACAGCCAGTGTCGAGCAGCGGCGGTGTTGACGCTCTGAGTGCCAGCTGCTGGCAAGGCTGTGCTGCCTGCTGCAGACGGCCTCCAGTCCCGCTGTCTCTCTTTCTGTGTCCTGTGAGTCCAGTCGGGGTGTCCAGGTCCTCTGCACAGACGTTTTTAAAGTCAAGTCAGTTTGACAGATGGAGAGGGTGGGGTGGCACCATTCGGTGTACTTCTTCACGTAAATCAATCTTTTCCTTTTTTTAAATTAAGGGGTAGGAGCTGGCACTGTGGCATAGCTGGTTAAGCCACCACCTGTGATGCCGGCATCCCATATGGGGCTGGTTTGAGTCCCGGCTGCTCCACTTCTGATCCAGCTCCCTGCTGATGTGCCTGGGAAAGCAGCGGAAGATGGTCCAAGTGCCAACATGGGGGACTCAAAGGAAGCTCCTGCCTTCTGGCTTCAGCCTGGCCCAGCCCCGGCTGTTGCAGACTACTGGAGAGTAAACCAGTGGATGGAAGACCTCTCTGTCTCTGTCTCTGTCTCTGTCTCTGCCTTTCATTTAAATAAATAAATAAATAAATAAATAAATAAATAAATATTTAAAACATAAATGGGGGCCACCACTGTGGTGTAGGCAATGCCAGCATCCCATATCGGTGCCCGTTCGAGTTCTGGCTGCTCCACTTCTGATCCAGCTCTCTGCTATGGCCTGGGAAAGCAGTGGAAGATGGCGCAAGTCCTTGGGCCCCTGCATCTGCATGGGAGACCTGGAAGAAGCTCCTGGCTCCTGGCTTTGGATCAGTGCAGCTCTGGCCGTTGTGGCCAGCTGGAGAGTGAACCAGTGGATACACACACCCACCTCCCCTACCCCAGCCGTGTAACCCAGACTTTCAAATAAATAAAATCTTTAAAAAGAAATGAAAAGGTGGTTTACATGGCCGTATCTGTGTGATTCCTGTTGGGCCTATTCTGGCTTCTCTGAACAATTACCCACGAGCCTTCAGGATCAGGAGGCTGGGAGACAGCACCCCTGGCTCACAGGTGCCTCCTTGCGTGTCCTTGCCGAGAGGACAGGAAGGGCAGTGCTGAGGGGCTCATTCAAAGGCCCAACCCCCGATTCCCTCACTGGAGGGGGCTAGATTTCAGTGGAAGGGTTGGGGGTGCTCTGGCACACAGGTTGGCCGCTACATCCCGTAGCATCACATGCCTGTTCGAGTTCCAGCTGCTCTACTTCTCCTCTAGCTCTGGCTAATGTGCCTTGAGAAGCAGTAGAGGATGGCTCCGGGGCTTGGATCTCCGCCACCTGGTCCATCTGGGCAGTGAACTAGCACATGGGAGATCCCAGTGTGCTGGTCTGTGTCTCCCTGTCACTGTTGTTCCACCTTGCAGATCAATCAGTCATTGTCATCTTTTTTTTTTTTTAAAGATTTATTTATTTATTTGAAAGAGAGAAGGAGAGGCAGAGAGGTCTTCCATCTGCTGGCTCATGCCCCAATTGGCCGTAATGGCCAGAGCTGGGCCAGTCCAAAGCCAGGAGCTTCTTCTGGGTCTCCCACATGGGTGCAGGGGCCCCCGGACTTGGGCCATCTTCTACTGCTTTCCCAGGCCATAGCAGAGAGCTGTATCGGAAGTGGGACAGCCAGGACTTGAACCGGCATCCTGTATCAGGTGTCTGCTTTACCCACTACGCCACAGTGCCAACCCAAGATAAATCAATTTGGTTTTTTTTTTTTTTTTTAAAGATTTTATTTGTCGGCCAGCGCCACGCCTCACTAGGCTAATCTTCCGCCTTGCGGCGCTGGCACACCAGGTTCTAGTCCTAGTCGGGGCACCGGATTCTGTCCCAGTTGCCTCTCTTCCAGGCCAGCTCTCTGCTGTGGCCAGGGAGTGCAGTGGAGGATGGTCCAAGTGCTTGGGCCCTGCACCCCATGGGAGACCAGGAGAAGTACCTGGCTCCTGCCATCGGATCAGCGCAGTGCGCCGGCTGCAGCGCGCCAGCCGCAGTGGCCATTGGAGGGTGAACCAACGGCGAAAGGAAGACCTTTCTCTCTGTCTCTCTCTCTCACTGTCCACTCTGCCTGTCAAAAATAAAAAAAAAAAAAATTTTATTTGTTTATTTATTTGACAGGTAGAAATAGAGAGAGAGAGAGAAAGGTCTTCCTTCCATTGGTTCACTCCCCAAATGGCCGCAACGGCTGGAGCTGCACCGATCAGGAGCCGGGTACCTCTTCTTGGTCTCCCATGCAGGTGCAGGGGCCCAAGCACTTGGGCCGTCCTCCACTGCTTTCACAGGCCACAGAGAGAGCTCAGTCTCTCTCGTTCGGTGGTTGTTGATGCCTGGTAGCTTGCGCTTTGTGCCTCTTATGAGTCAAGTTGCTTTGTTTCCTTGGACAAGACTGTCCAAGGCTGTCTGGGAAGCGTGTGGTGGGTGCCCAGGCAGCCTTGGCCTTGCGGTGATGTCTGAGTGGTGCACGTTTTGTAGCTGCTGTAGTGGGAATTCTGAGTGGAGATGTTTTCCTGGGCTAGCACTGTGTGGTCCCATCCTCTCGTGACGCTGGATGTGGCGACAGCCACAGTTTGCGGGTCGGGGGGAGCCACTGATGCTGCCCAGCTAGTTGTGCAGTGGGTCGGGGTGCTTGGTGTGTTGGGGGACATTATCCATTGTAAATTGAGGCATTGCTTCCTCTTGGTTAATGCTCCCTTAATAAGCATGCCTGACTTGATTTCCCAGCTTCTCTGTGGCTGTGCCGAGGCCTGGCTCTGGGGGTGGTCTCCGTGGCAGCAGCACTGGCACTGAGTCTGCGTGTGTGTGACAGCTGAGCAGCCCCAGCCCGTGCCCCCTGCGACCTCGTCTTCCATGCCATGTTCCATTTCTGAAGACGAGGGGGTTTAGGGTTCTGCTGTTCCAGGCTGCAGGGGATGTGTTTGGGGTTAGCTGAAGGACAGTACCGTCAGCCTTCTCACTGCAGACTTGGGGCTGGTGGCAGACGGATGGCCAGGACTTGGCGCACACCCAGGCCAGCCCTTGACTGCCACCCCCTGCTGTCAGCAGCCTCCTTCGTATGCAGCTTCTGTGTTCACCCAGGCTGGGGGCACACCTCCCAGTGCTGCAGGCTTTGCCAAACGTCCTCCACCTCTGAGCTGCCCTGTGTTCGTGACAGGAAACCCAGTCCTGCTCTCCTGCAAGCAGGAGGCCGATGAACAGGGGTTTGCTGATGGTCATTACTGACCCTTGTTCAGGTCCATGTCTGAGCGTCGCCCAGGTGAGCGTCTGGTGTCCACGAGGAGCTGTCTCAGGTTGCCAGGGTGCCAGGGTTGTGACCTGTCCACAGGCACTTGGCGTGGGAGCAGACAGACCCACAGCCCCTGTTGGGTTCCGGGCCTGAGACCAGCGAGGCCCCCTTGGCTTCCTGTGGGGTTCGTCTCTGGAAAGCCCCGTTGTTGCTGATTTGGCTTATTTAGCCTCTAGGGGCACACGTTGCAGTTAAGGGAGAAAATTGCTGTTTTGCCCCACCGAGTCTCTAAACACAAGGAAAGCAAAGATGATAGGTTTTTTATGCCTGTTTCTGTAAAAGCTCTTCTGATTTAGAAAATCAAAGGCTGTGTGTGAGCTCAGGATTTCTGCTTCAGACAGGCCTTTCCCAAGCGGATGTTTAGTTTTGCAGGGAGCTGGCATCTGTGACACCCTGTAAGCAGGCTGTCCTGGCTCTGCACGGGCAGTGGAGGTGCCGGGCTGCATAGGCGCCTGCCAGATCCAGGTTGCTCCTGTGTCAGGAGGTGACTGCCATGACAGCATTGAGGATCAAACAGGGTGTGGTCCCATACAGAGGGGTGAGCTTTAGAAGGCAGGACCCCTGGCTCAGCAGGTGGGGGGAGCATAGGCCAGTGCTGGGAGCCCAGGAAGAGTGAACATTGCGTCGTCCCACTGAGTCACGGCCCAGCCTGGTGAGTGAATGAGTGCGCGTCTGAGACGGCCCCAGGAGGTGCAGCAAACATGGCCGTTTGCTCCCTGGTCATGAGGAACCTTGCAGAGGGTGCTTTGTGTGCTGTCGTCTCTGTGAGTCTGTTGGGTTTGGCATTTAAGTTTGCACTTGTCTCCAACTGGTGATGTTTGGGCTGTTGTACCTCCACGAGAAGCACGGCCCCATGGAGTGGGAATTCACAAGGACCTTGCAGTCACAGCCCAGTGGTGGCGGGGCTGCCCGCAGGCATGCTGTTCCCTGCGAGGTTCCTCTGCCCTGGGTTCCTGCCAGTGTTGAGGGGTCATGGTTGTAATGCTGACTTGGGAAGAACTGAGGGACACCCGGGCAGCGGGCATCCCTAGGGTGGGTGTGTGCAGCCCCTTGGTGGAACACCTGCTCTCAGGCCCTGGTGCAGTTGTCATGATGTGGCTCTTGCCTCTGTCCCTTGAGCGTTCCAGGCCCTTGAAGACAGGAGTTCTGAGTCCCCCCGGATGCCCTGGCACAGGCGGCTGGAAGCCTAGGCTGTGTCACATGCATGTGGTTTTGGCTGGGCTGAGAAGCAGATCAGCAGATTCCCAGTTAAAAGCTTTTCGAGGGGCCAGTGCTGTGGTGCGGCGGGTTAATGCCCTGGCCTGCAGTGCTGGCACCCCACATGGGCACAGATTTGAGACCCGGCTGCTCCACTTCCGATCCAGCTCTGTGCTGTGGCCTGGGAAAGCAGCAGAGGATGGCCCAAGTGCTTGGGCCCCTGCACCCACGTGGGAGACCCAGAAGAAGCTCCTGGCTCCTGGTTCCGGATCGCCAGAGCTCCGGCCATTGTAGCCAGTTGGGGAGTGAACCAGCGGATGGAAGACTCTCTCTGCCTCTCCTCTCTGTTTAACTCTGACTTTCAAATAAATAAATCTTAAAAAAAAAAAAAAAAAAGAAACGATGAAAGGAAGAAAGGAAGGGAGGGAGGAAGGAAGGAAGAAAGGGCTCTGTAAACTAGCTGGAGCTCTAGGGCTTTAGGGGTGGGGGAGGCCTGCCCCCTCCTCCCCCTCCCCCTCCCACGTGTGCCATCTGAGAGCCTGCTTCCCTGAAGCCCAAAGTGGCTCCTGATCTGTGCTGGGCTCTGATCAGGCCCTGCTTGCAGAGAGCTGCAAGGGTCCGAGCTGGCAGCAAGGAAGGCACGAGGCTCTCTCCCTCGCCAGCCTTGGGTCTGTCCGCCTGTGCAGGAGGGACAGCTGTGGAACAAGCCCCCTTCTCGTCCTGCCACCTGTGCCGCCTCCTGATCCCTGCAGACCCCAGGTATCAGGTGATCAGGGCTCAGTCTCAGTCTTGGCTTTCATTGTTCCTTGATGTCTGACTTAGGGCAGGAGAGGCACTGATTGTTTACACACGTGTTGTTCTTGTGCCCCCGTCCCCCCAGGGCAGAGCTCTTCCTGGTTCTCCCCAGAGAGAGCCTCTGCTTCCAGGTCCACGGGTGCCTCCTGCAGGCGGAAGCTCCCGCACGTGTGCTGCTGTCCGGCTCCTGGAGCCCAGCATGCTGTCGTGGACCCTGCAGTTTGTCCACCCTCCCTGTGGGCCTTGGTGGATGACGTCACAGCCCTTGGTGGCTGTGCAGCCTGGAGTAGTGCCCAGGTCTCTGCAGGCCTCCCACACATTCTGGGGACCATCACTTGTTTAAATTGTGGCTTTGTGGTCCCCTGGGGCTGGACGTGGTGGGACCGCCTCCTTTTTGGGGATCAAAGCTGTGAAAGAGGAGAAGGTTTGTTGCAGGGGGTGTGGAGAGAGGTGAACTCAGCGGCACTTCCTGGGCTTTCTTTGGGAAGCTTAGGTCTCCTTCCTGAGCCTGAGGGTTGAATGCTGCAGGTCGTGTTCCGTGAGCGCTGGGGTTATGTGTCAGATGCTGTCCAGCACTCGTATCCACAAATGGTTTTGTTTCTGTTTGTATAAACAGACTTAGATGCGTCTGACTATGGATTTCAGTCTCCACACGTTAGACCGGTGTTTGAAACATTCTCTGCTCACACCATACGTGCACATAGGATAAGAACATATCATAAAAGCCTACTCTTTGTGTGATGGCCCCTGGCATTTCCTTTCTGCATTTTATTTTTTAATTTATTTGACAGATAGTTAGAGAGAAAGGTCCTCCTTCCATTGGTTCACCCCCAAAATAGCCGCTACGGCTGGAGCTACGCCGATCCTAACCCAGGAGCCAGGTGCTTCCTCCCAGTCTCCCATGCAGGTGCAGGGCCCAAGCACTTGGGCCATCCTCCACTGCCTTCCTGGGCCACAGCAGAGAGCTGGACTGGAAGACAAGCAACTGGCACTAGAACCTGGCGCCCATATGGGATGCCGGCGCTGCAGGCGGAGGATTAACCAGGTGAGCCAGGGCGCCGGCCCTCTGCATTTTTTTTTTTTTTTTAAAGATAATTGATTTGTTTGAAAGAGTTAGGAGAGACAGATTGTCCATCTGCTGGTTTACTCCCCAGATGGCATTTAACTTACTAAAAAACAGTTTATCATAATTGCCAAAGCATTGGAGCACCAAGATGTCATCCTTTGGCAGGTGAGTGGAATTCACCAAGTGCTGACAAGAAACGTGCCGTTGTGGGGCCGGCTCTGTGGCGTAGCGGCAGGGCCGACATCCCATCTGGCTGCTCCACTTCTGATCCAGCTCTCTGCTATGGCTGGGAAAGTAGTGTAGGATGGCCTAAGTGCCCGGGCTCCTGCACCTGTGTGGGAGATCCGGAAGAAGCTCCTGGCTCCTGGCTTTGGATTGGCCCAGCTCTGGCCAATGCAGCCATTTGGGGAGTGAACCAGTGGATGGAAGACCTCTACCTTTCTCTCTGTCTCTGCCTCTCTGTAACTCTGCTTTTCAAAATAAATCTAAAAAAAAGAAAGAAATGCACTATCATGCTTTAATGATAGCAGTGCTTTCTGTGGTAGTGGAGTTCACCATGGCTCACCACGGGTGGTCCTGGGCTCTTGCAAGAGTTCCCAGAGTCACGCATGCCTTCGACATGGGGTTTCTTTCTTTTTTATTTTTTAATTTTTTTTATTTTTTTATTTTTTGCTAGGCAGAGTTAGAGAGAGAGACAGAGAGAAAGGTCTTCCTTCCGTTGGTTCACTCCCCTAATGGCCGCCATGGCTGGCACCGTGCTGATCTGAAGCCAGGAGCCAGGTGTTTCTTCCTGGTCTCCCATGTGGGTGCAGGGACCCAAGCATTTGGGACATCCTCCTCTGCATTCCCGGGCCACAGCAGAGAGAGAGACTAGAAGAGGAGTAACTGGGACTAGTACCCGGTGCCCCAGCCGGGACTGGAACCTGGCGTGCCGGCACTGCAGGCAGAGGATTAGCCAGGGGAGCCACGGCGCCGTCCAACATGGGGTTTCTTTCATAGATCTCGCTGTTTGAGAACTGGCCCTGACGAATGCACACTCCATAGCTGACCGCTGTCACTGGGGCCAACACGGCCTTTCCTGGTGCACTGGTTTGGAAAAGGGGTGAGGATCTGGCGCTGCCTCTGCGCTCTGCCACAGGTCCTGCATCCAGGCTGAATCATGGACTGTTGCATCAAAAAAAGGTGCACTCAGCTCCTAACTGGCAGTAAAACCCTCAGCATCAGGGAGAGAATCAGAGCTTCTAAGTGAGAACTTGGTTTAGAAGGGACTGGCCCCTTTGACAAGCCAGCCCCCCCCCCCTTTTTTTAATTTCTCTCTTTGAAAGGCAGGGTGACAAAGTGGGGTTGGATTGTAGGGGGTAGATTGAGACAGAGACAGAGAGCTTCCATCCCCACTCTGTTTTTAAAGATTTATTTAGGCCGGTGCCGTAGCTCACTTGGCTAATCCTCTGCCTGCGGCACCAGCACCCCGGATTCTAGTCCCAGTTGGGGCACCTGGTACTAGTCCAGTTGCTCCTCTTCCAGGCCAGCTCTCTGCTGTGGCCCGGGAGGGCAGTGGAGGATGGCCCAAGTGCTTGGGTCCCTGCACCCCATGGGAGACCAGGAGGAAGTACCCGGCTCCTGGCTTTGGATTAGCACAGCACCGGCCGTGGTGGCCATTAGGGGAGTGAACCAACGGAAGGAAGATCTTTTTCTGTGTCTTTCTCTCTCACTAACTCTGCCTGGCAAAAAAAAAAAATAAATAAATAAAATTAAATAAATAAATAAAAATTATATACTTGCAGAGCAGAGTTACAGAGAGGCAGAGGCAGAGTGAGGTCTTCCATCCACTGGTTCACTCCCCAGACGACCACAAAGTCCAGAACTGTGCTGATCTGAAACCAAAAGCCTTCTCCGGGTCTCCCACGTGGGTGCAGGGGACTTAAGCCATTTTCCACGGCTCTCCCAGGCCATAGCAGGGAGTTGAATCAGAAGTGGAGCAGCCAGGACGTGAGCTGGTGCCCGTGTGGGAATGCCGGCACTGCAGGCACAGCTTTACCTCCTATGCCACAGCAGCCAGGTCTGGACCGGGACAGGCCAAAGCCTCGGGCTAAGGACTGTATCTGCGTCTCCCACATGGGTTGCAGGCACCCAAGAACTGGAGCCATCTTCTTTGCCTCCCCAGGTGCATTAGCGGGGAGCTGGATCAGGTGGAGCCCCAGGACTGTTGACTGTTGACTTGAAGCAGTGGCTGTGCCTGTTGCACCACAGCGCCAGCCCCGCCCCCAAAGCAGCTATGTTTTGATGTCTCTTTCTGTTCATGCTTTGTACTTATGACGGATTTAGATGAAACTTCCAAAGTATGTTTCCATTTGATTCTCCAAAAACCCTTTAAGAACATGTGCCCTTGTCCTCGTTGTTTGCAGCAGGGAACAGTTGAGCACATCTCTGGGGCTCGGCCAGCTGAGCAGGCTGCAGTGGCACTTGGTGGTCCTCGTGCTCTCCCAGAGCTGCTGTTGTGCCCCAGGGGCAAGCGTCAGCTGGGGCAGAATGTGGGGTGTGTGGAGTCCTTGTGCAACACGGCTCTCGGGACGTGGGACTCAGTGTGCCAGTCTGTGTATGTATGGGCCCTTCCCGGGGCTGGAACAGGTGTGAGACAAAGATCAGGCTTCAGTTTGCAAAAGGCTTCCTTAAAAGCCAGCCTAGGTTGTTAGGGAAGCGACCCGGGTTGCCTTCCTCGTCCTGGCCATGGAAAGAAGCTCTCTTACTTGGTGAGTGGTGGTAAGAGCCTGCCCGGGCTGCTTGTTGCGGGAGGGACAGCATCTTTGTGAGCTGGGGTGGTGCTGTGCCCCGAGCAGGCGTTGGCTGCAGGCTGCTGCCTTGCTGGCTCGGCTCTGCAGGATCCCGGGTGAGATCACCTGTTGCTTAGTGCGGTCAGCCTCCACATTGCCGTTCCAGCTCCTGGGTGTTTGCGCTTGGGAGACTTGTAGAATATGCCGGAGGCTGACAACTTGAGGAGAACCAGTGGTGCTCCCAATAGACTGTCACATTAATTTTACTTTTTTTTTCCTTTTGAAGACTTTCATATAAATTCAGTAAAAGAAAACTGTAGAAGTCATCCGCCCTTTTAGCTCGGGAGCTGCCTTGCTTAGGCAGCCTGGAAGTAGGGTGGGACCTGCTGGCTTTGTCCTTCTCTCTCTCCATTGTAGTGTGTTCACCCTCCACGTGTGTCGTCTTAAAGTCACAGAGCCGGACCCAGCGTGGGTGGCTGAGTAGCGGTGAGCGTGGCTGCTTCTGGTGTCCGTCACGTGTTGGTCTTTGTTTTCATGTTGCTGGAGGACTCGGGAAGGGTTCATTGTGGAGAGTTTTTAACATGTAACCCTTTGACACATTTTACAAATACTTTCTGGCATTTTGACTTTGTGGTTGTGGGTCTTTATCCCAGTAAGTGTATGTCCTCCTCCACTGCGCCAAGAGCAGGGAGCCCGGGAACTTGGCTGTGCCAAGAGTGAGGTCGGGAGCCCATCGTCCCTGCCTCTGTGGCCTGTGACCTCACATCACACGAGATGCCCTGCACCGTCTGCTCCTCTTGTGAGACAGTCACAGGGCCACACAGCTCACCGAGGGGTGGACGAGGGAACCGGCCACGCCACAGGAGCACCGGCGAGCCTCTTCCAAAGTTCTGTCTTCAAGTCATTCTTAACCTGTAAATCTCTCTCTGTTCTTTTCCTTCTGTCAGAGATCTGGATCTTTTTGTCTGCAGAATTGTTCTGCGTCCCAAATCTGATGTGAGCTGTATCTGTAATTTAGAGTTTTCTGTTAGCCTCAGTGAAGAATGCAAACAAGTGAAATTAATGTGCAGTGGATCTTATTTATTAACCATTGTGCCTCAGACGTGCGCATTCCATCAGGGATGAGAATGGATGCCCTGTCACCAGGGGCAGCTTTCCACTTTTCTGCTGTTCTGAGTCTTTGGCATCCAGACTGTTGGGGGGCACTGCTCTGGCATGCTGTCAGGCTGGGGGGTGTTTCTCGTGGGCGGGACCCAGTCCTGGTCCCTGATGTCTGCACGTGGGCAGTGGGAGCCGCGGGCTGGATGAAACTTGTCGTTTGGCTTCGCGGCTGGGAGTCGTGCCATCTGGCCGCTGTGCAGCCTTTCTTGTCGTGTGTTGTGCGCAGCGTGCTCCGCGACTCGCTGAAGTTGCAGGTGGGTGCCTTTGATCCCTCGTTCTCTCCTCTGACAAACACGGTCACGTGGTCACATGGGGAGACCAGTGTCTGGCTGCCAGTTTTCTAAATAGTGAGTTAATTTTCTCATAATCCTCAAAGGTTAGGGTTAGGGTTACTGAGTCATTTCATTTGTTACGGATTGAAATCATTTGGAATGTTGGGTTCATCACCATCACTGCCTTTCCTGAACTGAGTGAACGCCGTGCTCCTTGGGATGTTTGGTTCAACCTGGCCATCCCAGATGGCTGTCCCTCTCCTGCCAGAACCAGGACCCTCAGCGCTGAGCTCTAACAGTTCTAAGCCTACAGCGCCCAGACTGACGACCGGTACACCTCATCTGAGGCAGGAAACTGTTACCAGGCCCTCCTGCCTCATGCACACGCGTCCCACTCTGTCCATCCCCCTCCCTGCAGAGCTCTGGCTGCTCGAGACGCGGTTATGATCATCCATGTGGCAGGTGCACCAGCAGCCTCAGGAACTGTCACACAACCACCAACAACGTCATTATTGAGAGCAGGGAACTTCTTTATTTTTTGTTTATTGCTTTTCCAAAAGTTTCCATCGGTCCCACTACTGTGGAGTCCATTTAAAGTCACCTGTGGGGGCAGGTTAAGCCACGGCTTGGCGCGTCCACATCCCATATCTGATGGTTGGTGCCAGTCCCCGCTGCTCTGCTCCAACCCACCCCCCTGCCGAGGTGCTGGGTGCAGCAGGTGACGGCCCAGGTGCTTGAGTTCTGCCACATGCTTGGGTCTGAAGTCCTGTACAGT